ACACACATAACCGACAACTGAGTTTCAACGAATTTATGTCAAGTTATGCAGACAGAAGATTTGGTGTGAACATCGAAATATAGAAAGATCTTTATTCAGGATGGTTTCTCTTTATAGCTGTTTGTGTCGCTCAAGACTTCAATATGACCATACCAAACTCGTCATTATGTAAAAAAAAGTTTGGAAATGGGGATGGACTGGAAAAGTCAGAAGAATAAAGTTTTTACACTGCTGCGAATTTGGAAATTTACCCTTATTCAGAGGTTTTCTACTGAAGGAACAAGCTACAAGAACATATAAACACTAATGTGTAATTATGGCATAAAAAACTGGCTTTGCCAAAAGACAGGCCATAGGTTAGAAAACTTGGAATAGAAAATAGTGAAAAGCATGATTGAGGTGATCTGGTCTATAAACTACTGTAAGTTGGTTTAATTCAAAACTATCATGACCTTAAAAGGGCAGTAGATTGTTACTTCTTGCTCAAAATTTGTCCAGAGCTAGAAACACCTGTCGCTTTCGCCACCAAAAGCATCTGCCTATAACTTCTGAATTGGCCTGGGTCAGTACTAAAAGAGGACAGTATAGCGAAGCGCCTATACTAACGAAATTACAGCCAAGTAAGTACGAGAAACTCAGATAATGATTTAACTCGTCCGCAAGAACTATGCGAACACCCTAAGAGCTTGCGGTTATTGTACGAAACATAAATAAGAACACTTGTTTAATTATGTCAACCTGAAAATATATTTAAGAAGTAATTGTACAAATAAATAAAAGTTGTTTACGGATAGTGTATATAAAATGGACCCAGTGTTTGATTTTAACGTTACAATAATGATTTTATATGACAATAAAAGATGAAAAAAGTTATTAAAACAGCAACAAAAATTAACACAATGAATATTTAATAACTAGTCACATACCTATCGGCCTTTCTGTCTTTATCTTCGTCACCACCATAAGTGTTATGGCTGGTCTGCATATATTTCTTATTAGCTTCCCTTTCGTGCTCTTTCATTTGCTCTATACGTTCTTTTTTCGGATATCCTAAAAACTTCTTTTAGATTCTTCCACTCCTCTAAGAGTTTGCTGGCTAAGAATTTGATTTCTTCTTCCTGGTCTTTGGATCGTCTTGTCTGAAACCAATTCATCTTTCACCGGCACTTTAATTTCTTGTTTTATGCTAGATTTTGGCATGTCCGTTTCGGTTTTCGGTGAGTTGCTTTCGGAATCGAGCGGTGAAGTTAAAGTTTTACTGGTGGCCCATTTTTCTACAGTAGAAATAACTTTGCTGTCTTGAAGCATCGATTTATTAGGGATGGGTAGTACTGCTAGTGTTTGAAGCATTTCCAATCTGAAAAAACAACAAATACATTGTTATAAACTAGTTTAACCATGATAATTAAGTCAAACCTACCTCAATGATTCAAATTGTTATTTGATATTACCAACTGCTGAGCATCGATCATATATCCGTGCATTAGACGAAGACCGTGATAATCCAAAAACAACCTCCTACAAGGTAGTTCTCCTCTTCGTAAAACACGTAAGAGTTTTGCTCTTTGTTGAGGTTCTTTAGATCTCACCATCAATCTGCTCAGTTTGAGAGTATGAGCTTGATTTTTCAATCCAGTGGTAACCACATCTCTATTTTCTTCATTTAAGTGCTAAAAAACCAAATATATAATATTTAGACATACGTTTCCAGATAGTACTTACGTCCACTTCTTCAAACATTTCAATTCTCGGTTTCTTCTTCTGGAGTTTTTTCTTGACAGTTTAGGCTTGATCTCTGTAAACTTGTTGAGGAGTTTCCTGTATACTGACATCTTTATCCTTCGTATATTTCTGGAACACCTTCCACTTTCTCTTCGTCTTTAACTTCTGCTG